CTGACTGTCTATCTGTCTGACTGACTGTCTGACTGACTGTCTGTCTGTCTGACTGTCTGTCTGTCTGTCTGTCTGACTGTCTGTCTGTCTGTCTGTCTGACTGTCTGTCAGTCATCAACAAAGAGTGCTTTGGTTTACTTGGTAGCAGTGATACAATTACTTGGATTTTTTATGAGTGCAGTAAAATATTTATGCATAATTGTCTTAAACTTGCATTTGACATAAAGAAATAATTTAACGTTATTTGGCTTGATCGCCAAAATTATTAAATCACCACTTTTAGAGGACGTTCATTCAGTTGTTTGGGGTTATATAAAAAATAAATCACAGACATGACACACAATTAATACATTTTCAAAATTCAAACTTTCTGACAATAAGAAATTTAAAAAAATGATTTTTTTTTTTTTTTTAGTTTTATTCAGTCACAGTGGCTTTTTTCACATCAAGTAAGGAGGAGAATCAACTATAGAATCACTCATTTCTGATGACAAATGTATGGAATGATGAGAAAAACACTTCTGGTAGTACTCTGTTGTACCATCTTACCATCTTTGGCTTCTATAACAGCTTGAACTCTCCAAGGCAAGTTGGAGGGGCTTGACTTGAGGACTGCAACATGTGGTTCAAGAGGTGGAACGAAACTGTGCACAGGGTCCCAGTTACACCCCAAAAATAGCTAAAATATCAAATATAAAAGGAAACTATATACAAGGATCTAAGATATGCTAAACACTAATAATGTAAAATAATATGGTATATTAAACAGCAGCCTGAACATGAGTCTGTAGTGAGCAGATTGGATGAATACAGCTTAAAGGCAAGAAATCAGCAGCATGGATAAATTGCATATCACCAATTTGTAGCTCATGTCTAAGATTCATCTGTGCATAGTGTGCATGAGTGTCAATATGGAACTTTATCATAATGTTCTTATTTTCTGAGACACTGAGTTTTAGGCTTTTATTATTTGTAAGCCATAATCATCAAAATAACAAGAAATAAAAGGCTTGAAATATTTCACTCTGTGTAATGATTCTATTTAATGTATGAGTTAGTTTATGACTGACAAAAAATATTGAATTTGTTCACAATATTCTAATTTTTTTTAATATAGCTGTTCGAAATTGAAATACATTCACCAAGGCACATGATTCCATACTTTCCCCAGTTTGTATGTAGTACATCAGGGGACATGTAGTGACACTCAGTGGCCTCATGGTGGTGCTGTTTGACATGAGTCATGGATGTCTTTTTATAGTCAGCAGCAAGAAGAAGATTGTGTACATCGACTCCCCTCTTCTGAAGACAGAGATGACCGTTAGAGAGAGGAGTCACATCTACCATGAGGAAAGTTTGAAGCTCTCCATCGTGAAGAGTGGAAGTGTAAATGTCTTCCGTTTGATGACAGAGCATCCCACGAACGAGCAGCAGATCTCGCCGGTGAGCTCGTGCAAATATACATCCCTCTTTGTAGAACGCAGCGCTTCATCTTTTTACATCAAAGCAATTGTTTTTTTTCTGTTGTTTCTGTATCAGGAGGGTTCCAAGAGAAAGTGTGTGTCTGCAGAAAGCACTGGCCTTGACTTTGAGGTGGACCTCACAGATTTAGAGACATTTGGAGATATTTCTAAGATGACCAAGACAAAAAAAAAGAAGAATCAAGAGGATGAAGGGATTAAAAGTAAAAAAGTTACATGTTCTTCAGTTGTAACCAGGTCCAAGAGTCTCAGTGAGCATCATAATGCTAACAGCAGCTCACAGGAAGATACGAGGACCTCTCAGATGAACACTGAAGCTCCCTCAACAGAGTCGAGCGAGCTGGTTGTTCGTGAGGCCATTTCACCAAAGACTAAACAAATATGCTCTGCCAAAGAAGAGGAGGAAATCCAAACCTTTACAGAAGATTCTGATGAGGAGAAGCTTATCATTGATGATTATGCAGCTTCAGCAAAAACAGTGAAACAGCCTGAGGCTCAGACTACAAAACCCTCCACAGTAACCCCAGTTCCTCCAGCCCCAGAGTCCACCGCTCTAAATACAGACTCATCTACCCCTCATAAGTGTGAAAAGACCAGCTGGCAGACCAAACAGGCAAAGTCCTCTGGGGACCAACTAGGTGAGATCCTACGCATGCAAACAGCCATGTTCCAGTCTTCCAATGACACGCCTGCTACTGCTACTAAATCACCAAGTCGTTGTGTGGGACTCTTGCCAAACTCTCATGCAACTTCGCTGGTTAAACCGTGTGTGACCTCATACTTGGAAAGGAACCAGAACGAGGATGGCAGTACGTGTGCTGCTTATGAATCTGCAGTTTTCAACAAAGATGCTACAGAGCACAAAAGTTCGTGTCACTTTATTGAATTTCATTTTGTAGATTAAAGTTAGCCTGTTAAGGACTTGATGACTTCTTTGTTCTTTCCTCGTGCCTTTTAGAAATTCTTTCAGAAGACCTGCAGGCTTGTGCAGAGGACGAACAAGACTACGAAGCTCCAGCTGAGGGAAACCTGCTCTACAAACTTTACAGTCTGCAAGACTTGTTACTTCTGGTCCGTAGCTCGGTGTCTCTGACCCACACGAGGAATGTTGGCAACAACCAGAACCAGGTGCATACAATTTGTTCTAACGTGTTTATTTCAGATGATAGCGCAGGGAATGATCCAGTTCATCGGTGTCATAATAACTCCTGTGTTCTCCCTCAACAGCATGTGCCAGTGCATGTTCTGCCTAAGCTGGAGTACCAACTTTGTTATGGAGTTGAGTGTCTGACCAGCAGTGAGGCGTGCCACCTGTGGACAGAGACGCTGCTTCACTCCACCACAGCGTCTTACATAGGTACAAACCTTATCACTAGAGGCAAAACAACTGCACAGGAAACACTAAAGGACTAGTCCTTCAGTTCAACTTTTTAAAAATGAGTCAAGAAAAACAAGGTCCATGCATATTTTCCTCCCTTCCTGGGTCCAGTGGAAACCACGAGGCAAATCCTCCCATAAACCAGCAGTGACTCACTGTATGTAGTCACTGCATGACTCACCATCCTGCTGCTACTGTGTCCTGGTGAAGTTTACTCTGTTGCCATAGCTCCAGCCACATTTTCAATCACAAAGACTGGAATGTGCAGAACTAAGCTCAAAGTGGTGTTTTTTAGCTTTAGTTGAACCACCCTCATTTATATTGTCGTCCTGTTGCTTCAGATTCAGGGAGAGACTCCACCCGTTGTGTTATATTCACTGAGTTGTTGACTTAAATAGGTGTTGACTGGGAATGTCATCTGTCTAGCTTAAAGTTGTTGTTTTTATTTTTTTTCCCCAAAATGTTTCAAAACAATGCACTTTTACAAATTACTTTCAGACTTGACTAAACTGACATTGCAACATGTTTATGATCACTCATAAATACATATTCTTTCCACTGAGTAAATAAAAAGCTTTAAAACGTCGTGATGCATCTTTGTTTTTCAGTGCTGTTACCAGCATTAGTATAAGAAAACCGAGATAAAGTTCAGCTGTTTGAAATCATAGAGAACGTCTCCTTGGTAACATTATGCAACAAGAACAAAAAGCACAGCCTTCGCTCTTTACTCGGTGGTTTCTAGTTCATCATAAGGCTTATCGTGTGGCATACCCCATGTGTGTATTTATGGCAGTGGTTGGAAATTCTATAAACACTCCATAAGTGAGGGATCTGTTGAAACAGGCCTTACCAGCTAGAGGAAAGAGAAGGGAACTGAAAATCTTGTTACCACCGCTCACTCTAGCCTTCAGAAGTCTTTGCAAATCACCACAGACTAATTACTGTAGAAGAACTGTGCACAGCATGGATACTAAAGCAAAGCTCTGGATGTGTATTATTCACGCACGTTCTCAGTTAAACCTCCACCTTCTCTCTGCAGCTCACATCAATGCGCTCACATCAAAAGTGCCTCTGCTGAGGAAGCTGCCTGACGACTGGAAGCAGAGCATCACCTGCGGGTTCAAGTGGGTTTTGTTAGATCAAATCTGTGCAGAAGGTGAAACTAACCTAATCAACTCACATTTATTACTTTTCTCAACACCTAGAGGCTACTGTTCTAAAATTCACTTTTTTTTTATATTTATCCAAACCTTTTTTTTTTTTTAGGAAAATTTTATTCACAATTTTTTGCCTGTGAACTCTTAATTCTATTTTGTGAACATCATTGTTAAAATCAAACTTGGATACCAGCTAATTTAAGACAAATGGCTATTTGTGTGAATATTTCGAGGAAATGTCCCTTTAAAGTTCTCCACTTGACTGAATCAGCCAGGATACATGTTTTAGTGCCAGTGCCTTTGGATAGGAGCATGTCACATATGAATCAGGAGCACTGACTTGCCAACATCTCAATTATACTGTATTCCAAAAGGATCTGAACATTAGTGACAGTAATCCTTCTGTATGTTGAGGCAATATGTGGCCAAAACTTGCAAATTGTGTTTTACCTTTTTCAATTAAAGCTTGATCACCAGCGTTTGTGATAAACACAGTCGGCCAGAGAATATTTTGATCAGATTTTGGTATGCAGTAGTCCCTCGCTACCATGCGATTCAACTTTTGCAGACTCGCTCTTTCGCGGTTTTTCAAAGTAATATTGGTCATGACACACAGTTGGCTGATCGATGGATGAGCCGCAAGAGCGGCATGGATTATTTATTTAAAATTAATTGTTTTAAATGAGTTAGCACCTGTTGCAGCCCACAGGTGCAGGGAGAAGCTCCCTCCTGCTGTGTCATGATCTCTGCTCTCTGCCACGCACACATTTCTGTAACATGCTGCCTCCTTTGTGAAGGGTTAACCCTTTGCTGTCCAGCTGCACCGATAGACTTTTGTCTCCCAACTTAAAATTCAAAGTATGTCACATCGTAAAATCGTCATAATCACAAAATATAAAAGCGTTAAAAGTGATTTAAATTATTTTAGAACGTCTATGTTCAGTTGTTTCAGTGTAATTGATCAAGAAGTACAGTTCTGCTCCTTTGCTGCACGTGCTGCGTGAACCCTTTGATGTCCTGCTGCGCTTTTCGTCAATTTAAATATAAATATTGTATATTTTAAACAGTCCAATTGCTTATTCAAAGTATTACAGTATTTAAATTTAAATTGTTTATTTACACAGAAGGAGGGCGATTGGGAGGTGATGGGCGTGACTGCAGCAGAGAAGTGGGCGTGGCAGAGAGCAGCGATGGTGACATGCTGTGCTCTTTTAGAGCGTTTAGAGTTTAGAAACATTGTTTAGAATATTGCAAGAGTGGGCAGGGTTTATAAAGCCAATATATAAATACTAAAAGTACTACTTTATACCCTACAATAAACGAGGAACTACTGTAGTCACCTTTACAAAAAAAGCAATATCCATAAGCTGTTTTTCATTTGCAGTTTTTTGATGAAACAATCCTTTTTTTCTACGCCCGTTGAAGGCAGACGTATTGCGGTAAAGTCTCTGTTCATTCGTAGGTGAACTTTCTCCTCCCCTGACCATAACTTCTCAAGATAATTTAATGAAACTTGATACGCATGCATCATCACTATGCGGACTGTTGCGTACTCTTTTCACCGCCCCAGCTCCCAAGTCAAGGTCACAAATCAAGGTCAAAGTTAAAAGTTGATCTTTGTTTGTCCGGACCATAACTTATAATCTGCTCAAGAACATTGTACATTCAAGGTCAATCACGGTCAGGTGGTGGTATAATCAGGGTCAAATGTTATACAAGTTCTTGACTTGTATACACTGCTGAATTGCTGTATAATAGTTTGACGGGTATTTAATGCAGTGGTTCCCAACCCTGGTCCCTGAGGAACACCAGCCTGCATGTTTTAGTTGTTTCCCTGCTCCAACATACCTGATTCAGTGATTTAATTGCTTCCTCAAGTTCTGCAGCAGCCTGTTCATCCATCCATCCATCCATGCATTTTCTTCCGCTTATCCAGGGTCGGGTCGTGGGAGTAGCTGCCTAATAAGTAGGCAGGCCCAGACTTCCCTCTCCCCAGCCACTTGGGCCAGCTCCTCCGGGGGAATCCCAAGGCGTTCCCAAACCAGCGGAGAAACATTGTCCCTCCAGCGTGTCCTGGGTCTCCTCCCAGTTAATCACCTGTTAATTTAAATCAGCAGGTGTGTTGGAGTAGAGAAGTAACTAAACCATGCAGGATGGAGTTCCTCAAGGACCAGGGTTGGGAACCCCAGATTTAATGTGCTGTATGCAGTACTCTTGTTTTAGAAAAGGCGTGGGGACAACACAGGCCTTTTTGGGAGCAGGTTTTTTTTTTTTTACTGCTCCTGTTGGTTAGAACTGGAAACTTTGTAGATTTCTGTTTGGCACTTTCATGATGAAGTTGACACAACTCTGTTGGGTGATTAGGCAAGAGAACATTGACCTGATGATTATGAGTGAATCACTGTGAGCTTCGCAATTAGTTGACGTCCTCTAGTTTTGTCATGTTAGTGCTGAGCTTTAGATCCCAGCCTGCTGTACAGAGTAAAGCTTTCTGTTGTCCTTTTTATCCACAGATCTTCCAAGTCACTAAATATACTTCACCACCTACTGAAAAAACTAATAGAGTAAGTTGTTATTATTATTATTTATTAACCTTTATTTAACTAGGCAAAACCCACTGAGATCACAGATCTCTTTTCCAAGGGAGGCCTGGACCTGAAGACAGCCTAATATGCATGTTTTTGGTCTGTGGGAGGAAACCGGAGTAGACGGAGAAAACCCATGCAAGCATGAGAAGAACATGCAAACTCCACACAGAAAGACCCCAGGTCCAACCAGGACTTGAGCCCAGAACCTTCGTGCTGTGAGGCAACAGTGCTAACCACTGAGCCTTCGTTCTGCCAGTTTTTTTTCTCATCATTATAGTTTGAGTTGTTGATTCAGCAGACTGTAGCAACCCCACCTTACTTTTTCCCATGTTTAAGCCCACAGTACTTTCAACAGTTTCACATATAGGGGTTAAAAATGTCCTAATGCTGTGTTCAAGTTGACTCATTTTTCATCTATTAAGGTGAAAATATGTCATCACGCTGACTTCATGTTGAAGAGTTGGGCAACCAGTTGCTCACAATCGATGCATCACCTTCTGTTTTCTTTAGGCGCTCCTATCATTACTCATCCAAGAAGCCAGCAGTCATTACAGTGCTGCAACATGTTTCCTTACTCTGGCTTTATCTCAGCTCTCAGTGCTTTTGATCTTTTAGGTTAGAAGAAGGACAATATCTGATCACGCACAAAGCTGGAGAACCGTTTGTGACCATTTTAAAGGCTGTGAATGGAAAAGCGAGTCGAGGGGCGTACAACCTGCAAGAGGTCCACAGCTCTGTTCCACAGCCCCCCAGCTCAGGCCTTGTGCCTTGGGTACCTGTTGATTCAGCTGTGGTCCTCCCCTTCCACCGGAAACATGGGCAGATTCCCTGCACCTTCCCACCAAAACCTTTCTTAAAGGTGTGTATTTCATTTGGTTACCATGGTTACTGTGCCCCCCCCCCACACACACACACACACGCAAGTCAAAAAAGGATGATAAATTCATTCAACCTTTATTTAGACAGGTAAATCCCATTGAGCCTCAAGGACTCATTTACAAGAGAGACCTGATTTCAACAAAGAATAATGACAACAATAAACAATTATTAAAAAGTCATACAATTTTATTTTATTTTTTTACAAATAGGATGGCAAAAAAAAAAAAAGTAACAGAACAGCTAGATTCTAAGGTGAATGTAGAAAACTAAAAACAGGAACATGTCTGCATTGGTCCCTGCCAGGAGTCCAACAGATTCTTAAAGCCACTTAGAGAGGTCAAGGTCGAGAGCTTCAAATCTTTTTGTAAGATATTTCAGGAAGCAGGAGCAGAGTAGGAGAAGGCCCTTTTGCCTAGTTCAGTCCTCATTGAGGGAACACTGCAGGTAATAATGTCCTGAGAGCGCACGCTGTAGCTGCACTCACGCAGAGACATGTAGGAGGAGATGTATGAAGGCAGCAGACCAAGAAGTGATTTAAAGATGAAAATATACCAGTGAGAGAGTCTGCGTGAAGTTAATGATGTCCAGTTAACCAGTGAATACAGGGTGCACTGGTGGGTACAGTAGTTACAGTCAGCTATGAATCTTAGTGCACCATGATAGACAGCATCCAACATCTGCAGGGTTCTTGTAGGAGCGTTCATGTAAATAATATCACCATAATCAATGGAGGGAAGGAAAGTCACAGATACAAGGCGTTTTCTAGCATTCAGGGTAAGACAGGATCTGTTTCTGAAAAAGAAACCCAGTTTAACTTTCAGTTTCTTTACCAAGTTATCCACATGAAGCTTAAAAGAGAGATGTGAGTCGACCAAGATACCCACATATTTATAGGAGTCAACAAACTCAATGGGGACACCATTTGAGGATAAAATCGGAGGAAGAACTGCTGGGACCAACTTCCTATTTGAAAAAAAGCATCCCTTTGGTTTTGTCGGCATTTAGGACAAGTTTGAGGTGGAACAAATCAGCCTGGATGTTGTTGAATGCAGATTTCAAAAGCTGGAAAGCCTTTTCAGCTGTTTTAGCTCGACAGTAAACAACTGTGTCATCAGCATAGAAATGTATGGATGCATCAGGGATGTTTTTACCTACGCTAAAGCTGTAAAGCTTACTTGTACTAATAAAGTGAGAAAAATGTATTGGACCATTTTGTTGAGAAATGTCTCAGATGTTCACGCCCCTTTTAGACACCCAGTCTCTGCAGTCCTACAGTAAATATTATAGATAAAATCCTGTTTTGACTATTGTCTCAAAGTTCACGCCTGTTACCTCATCAAACGAGCTGAACCAGTGAACTTCTCCACAGTAGACACTGGAGAGGATAATCTGCAGCTCTGTTGTTTGTTACTGCAGACTCGAGACATTCTCTGAATTCCTGCAAATTGTCACCCACTTTAACCTTTTATCTTCTGAAATGAAAAGACATTTATATTGTTCTAAGACACGATGAATAAAGCCACCTAATGATGCCTCATGACTAAAACGACCTATTTTACTCTCTTTTATTTCACCAGACAGGCAAAGAGAGAGCTAACAATCCTGGAGCTGGCCAGAACAACCAGAATGCACAAGGCAGCAAGAAGAAGAGCAAACGTTCAGCCAAACGTAACAAATATTTCAAAAGGCTCATTCAGAAGTCTGTTTAAAATCCCTCACTGAAGGATTTCATTTGCCATAATTCATCTTTCATTTCCATGCTCAGGTTAGTCAGAACAGCTGGATCTGTTGCTACAGCAAAGAAGGAAAGGAAGTGACTGAGAAACACTGGATCAAACATGTGTGTGCTTTAATATAGTAATGCCATGACACTTTTACAGTGTAAAACATGGCCTTTATTTTTTTTGATTGTGTTTTCTGTGTTTTGTTTGAGAAGTGTTTTGTAAAACAAGAACAATAAACTTATCAGTGTTCACACTGTGTGGAGTTACAACTGACCTGATCACTGGAATGGCTTGAATTGCGCAAATTCAAGATAAGGCAACCTCCTTGGAAATTTCCTGAAGGCAAGCATGTGCAAATCCCCTTGACTGTGTGAAAACTTAGCAGAGCTTTAAAACCTGGTGTGAACTCACTGAGGAACAGGGTGGAGTCGTAACTGCACACAGAGGGAGGGGATCTGAGTCCTGGGCAGTGAACGCTGTATTTGTGAGATACAAAAGTTCAGCTTCCACACCCGTTCCATTTCAACATCCCAGGGATCAATCTCTGCGTCCTCTTCACGTCTACAACTGAGGTGAGTTGCACTTAATGAAGTTAACTGCTTGTAGAATTCTAGATTAACTCCGCACAGCACAAAGGTTTAAGGAATTTTCCAGCTTGTAAAAAGTGACGCAACTTGTTTCCACAGGACTCTCATCGAGTTTGTTCAAACAACTTTAGCCTTTTTCTTGAGTTTTAGCTGGAATTTAGTTTTTCGCTTCGTAAGACAGGTTATCTTTGTGCACGTGAATGTTCTCAAGAGTTCATACCAGCCTTGAGGTCAGAAGCACTCTTTCCAGGGTGTGGTCCTGTCTGCAATAGAGGCGTCAGACTGAACAGGAATTTGCAGAACACACCACTAGAATAGAAACTTCTTTTAATCTGAAAAAGGTAATGCAGTTAAAACAGAACAAACACCAATAAGTTATTAATAGTTGTTAATTACACCAAAAGTATTGCTTCACCTCTGAAGAGAAGACATCACTTATTACCTTATTTTTTGCTGTATAAGTTGCATTTTTTTTTGCATAATTTGCATATGCTGCGACTTATAGGCCAAAGTGACATATTTATATATTTTTTCCCATGTCTAAACCAATTTTTGGCTGAGATATGACCGTTTGCATTCATTCTGACTGAAAATATTGAACACTACCACTTTCAGCCACTAGATGGCACTTGAGTATTAAGGCATTGCCATTGTATCATGTAATATGTAAAAGTGGCTATTAATGACACAGTCGGCTTGCCTTAACCTGCCACTGTCGTCTGCCTGGAGCAACCGTCAAATCAGCTTCATTTCACTGCGCCGCCCCTGGTGAAATGCAGCTAATTTGACCATTTGAAGTGCATTTATTAAGTGACAGTTCAACTGAGACACACCTTTACTAAAACGTCGAGCTAACAGATATTTGTTTTTAGGTTGTTATCTTGTTAAATTTCTAAGAAATGCACGGCGACTTGTCCCTCTGCGCATGCCCACTTCCACGAATCGGGTTTTGAAATGCAGCTGATTTGACCGTCAAAGTGCATTTATTAAGTAAAAGTTAGACAAAGACACAACTTTATTATAATTTCGAGCAAACAAATAATTGTTTTTTAAGTGTTAATCTTGTTAAATTCTTGTTAAAAGTCCTCCCGGGCACGCTTCCGCGGCTACCATTTGGCAGCCAATCGATTTTTGGAACAACACCGGCGCACATTACCGGGTTTTCAGCGGTGATGCGTAATAGATGCGACGTATACGGCGAAGCTTTATTATTTAAGCTTTATTTACTTTGTTAGACATATTTGGACTGATGCGACTTGTAGGGCAGTGCGGCGTTTACGGCAAAAAATACGGTACCTTGAAGTGTAAATAAGTGCATTTTCCCGGTTGAAGCCAGATGAGATTACAGATGTGATCAATATGTTGTCTCCTTCAGAACCGTCAGTATGGCTCTGGTGTCAGAGTTCCTGGGACAGCTGTCTCTCAATGTTGGGGTAATGTCAAAGTTTCTTCTGCCTTTATAACTGTAACTTCTATCCACAGTGTTGGCAGTTGAATACTTTGATTTCACAGGGCTCTGCTTTGTTTTGCAGACCGAATGCAAGTACCCCACTGTGGTACCCGCTTTGGACTTTGACCCAGACAGAGACGCTACCAGAATAGAGACAGCTATCAAAACCAAAGGTAAGGAACAGTCATGTGTTTTTGTTGCTGCAGATGAGTGTTGTATGTGAGTCAGCCTCATTTGAAGTGTTTTGGTCACATTGGAAACTCCATGTCTGTGCTTCACTGGATGTCCATCAGGTTTGGCTGCAAATCATTTTGTTTTGTACAGTTGAGAGTGACAAACCCCTCTTGACCAAGTTCTCCTAATTTCTCAATTCTCAAAAAAATAAAGTGTTATCCCCTTCTATAAAAACTGCTCAATATCTTGCAGATGTTAAAAAAAAAAACTTTGATGCATTTCTTACAAGTACTGTATCTCTTTGTCCTAGGAGTGGATGAGCAGACCATCATTGACGTCCTAACTAAGAGGACCTACGCTCAAAGGAGAGAAATTGCTTTTGCTTATGAAAAGAGGGCGAAGAAGGTACTTTGTGTTCTTACAGGAAAGCTAAATATTTTAAAGAGGTTTTTCAAGTCATGTGAGCATCCAACCAGTGTGTCGTTACATCTGTAGGACATGATCACAGCTTTGAAGGGAGCACTGTCTGGCCCGCTCGAAGCAGTGATCCTGGGACTGATGAGGAGCCCGGCTCAGTACGATGCCTCGGTTATCAGAGGGTCTATCCAGGTACAGCACCAAGCTTCCTTTAATGGAGCTGGTTAAAGGTGGACACTGCCCCCAAGTGGAATTGTGTCGTAGTAGGCTTTTTTTTTTTTTCCTGCAAATGATTTAAAGCGGTGAATATCTGTAATATTTCTCTCCTTCAGGGTTTAGGAACAGACGAAGACACTTTGATAGAGCTTTTGTGCTCTCGCAGCAACAAGGAGCTGGTAGAGATCAAGGCAGTCTACAAAGAGTGTAAGTTCAAAACATCAGCTTTATATGAAGGGTTAACATACTGTACCTGGTGATGAGGTCATCTGTAGCCAATAATTAGACAGGGATGTTTAGTTTTAGAGAAAGGTTTGTGCCAGATTTAAAATACGAATTCATTTCTCCACAGTGTTCAAGAAAGACCTGGAGAAGGATGTGGCTGGTGACACCTCTGGGAACTTTGCCAAGCTGCTTTTGGCTCTTGTGCAGGTGAGGTATACGGGATACATCATTATTTCTTACTTGCCAGAAAGCAGTGGGGCCTAAAATAATCCTGTATAATTTCTACACAGACTAACAGAGATGAATCTTCCTCCATAGTAGACTTTGAGAAGATTGATGCAGATGCCAGAGTAAGTCTAATAGACCACAAACAGATCCTTTTCAAAGAGACAACTGCAAAACAATAATTTCCGTATAAGTTTGTACTACTAAGTTAAACTTGCTAAATCTATGTAATAGATATTTATTTTGTGTTTAGTACAGAAATTGTTTATAAGCGAGTGAACAAGTTCATTCAGAAGACACCACTGTTGACCAGAAGCATTAAAACGTGATGTTTCTTTGCACTCAGGCTCTTTATGAATCTGGAGTGAAGATCAAAGGAACTGATGTGAACACCTGGATCTCCATTATGTCTCAGAGAAATTTCCCCCACCTGAGAAAAGGTACTCAGTCCTGTTCATTTTATCTCTATAGATATATAAAATATTCATTTTAAATTCCGTTGTAACAAAATGCTTTTTTTTTTTTTTTTTTTATCCCCAGTGTTTGAAAAGTACAAGAGCTACAGTCCTTACGACATGCAGGAGAGTATTGTAAAGGAAGTTAAAGGAGACCTACAAAAGTCATTCCTGGTGCTTGGTAAGATTATCTTTTTTTTTTTTTATGCATAAGATGGTTACTTTAAATCACTGACTCCACTTTCAGTATTTGTAAAAACTCTCAAATTTTACAAAAGAAACCCAGAATGCATTTAGGATAGGATTCATTGTTGTGCTGTATGTTGGATAATTTAATTATCCTATCATCAACTCCTTAAATAAATAAGTCACGCAAGGAAAACCAGAAGATCTTTACAACCCAGGTTTAATCTTTTAGTAAGTAAAAACAATCCATGACCCCCCCCCCCGTCACTGTATGCCCCTCAGATCACAATCTTTTGGTTTAAAAAAACAAAAAACATTCATATTATTGCAAATATCACAGCAAAGAACATTTTACAGCATTCTAACAGTTCAATCTAAACACAAACTGTTTACATGTTACCATATATAAAACAAGCTGTTGAAGATTTATTCTGTTGTTTGTCTTTTCTTCCAGTTGAATGCATTCAAAACAAATATCTGTACTTTGCCAAAAGACTAAATGAAGCCATGAAGGTACCGTACTTGCACCATTCTTTCTTTTTTTGTTGTTGCAAATTTAGCTTTTTTACGGCGAGCTCTTCTCCATTAAGGAGCACTTTCACTTGTTAAAGTAAAACTTTGCTGCAGGAAGTGAAAGTTGTTAAAAGTAATGTTACTTGAGTCTTGCATCAGCGGCTGTAGTTAAGAATAAAGCGCGCACAACTTTAAGTGCTGACTTGTTCTTGTCTGCTCAGGGTAAAGGAGCCAAGGAGAAGATGTTGACCAGAATTATCGTGTCCCGTTGCGAGGTGGACCTGAAAAAGATCTGCTCTGAATACAAATCCACCTTTGGACAGTCTCTGCAGCAGGCTATCACAGTAAGCAGCTTGTTTCTGGTTTACAGTCAAGTGTTCTATCGTGCACCTTATCTGTTGTTACTGTCCGTCTGCAGGAACACACCAAGGGAGACTACCAGAAGGTACTGCTCAGCATCTGTGGACCAGAACAATAAAACATTAGTCACAAGTATTATTTTTAGTCCCTGGATGTTGGTACTGGAAGTATGGGTCCATGAGACCGATCCTGGAACAATTTGATGCAATTAAGACATGTAGAGACGTGCAGCATTGAAGGACAAAAGTTGATCTTTTTAATATAAATAAGTTTTGTGTTTTTCAAACCAAAACATGAATAAAATGTTTTTGAAGGCTTTTCTTCACCCCAGGTTCTTAAATGTTGTTTTTGTGTTTAACCACCAGAGGGAGACAAAGTTCCATAAAAAGCAGCATCTTATTCTTACTCTGCTAAAGACGCAGTATTTTAATATTTGAAGGACTTACCGGTAGTCATTCGTAACATTTACATTTATTACCGCTTTTCTTATTTGTTAACAATATAATCAAAACAAACAAACAAAAAAAAACATCTGTTGGACAACATATTAATTGTACATTGAAAGAAATCTCAGCGCTAACAGTTTACTCAGTGGGTTTAAATTTAAATACTCGCACATGTAAAAATAATTAAAAACAAGAGTGACTGAAAGATAAACAATGATTGAGTATTGGCCTCTATTTCCACTAAATACAACTCTGAAGATGATTTAATCATTAGTGTGTTTTTCTGTGTTTGTTTGGTGCTAATATTTTAATTAAAAATGTTAATTTTACCTCCGGCAAGGAAGATTTGCATAGCACTAAACAAGTGTCTGTACAACGTGTTTCTGCTGTTTAGTTTGGGGTCTCTCAGGATAAAATAACCACAGTGTTGTCAAGGCAATTCCACTGAAGCATAAGGAAAAAATAACCCCAAAAGGGAAAATCAGAACTGCTGAACACAGTGATGAGGAAAGGATGGGGAGAAAAGTGCAATAATTTATTATACGTAAGTGGTGTGCTGCAGATCTGTTGTATTATTGTGAAAGAAATTGCTTGTTTCAGTCTAATATTTTCAGGAGAGAAATGGCTCCAAACTTTAACAAGGCTTTGGATTTATGACCGTTTTGTAATAATATTGATGAGAACATTAGCCCTTTGTGATGGTTTGTGTTTATAGGCAATAAAATCATAAAATATGGTGTGAAGTAAGATAAAACAGTATTTTGTGAAACAGAAGGAGGGAGATTTATGCGTGAATATTGTGACAGATTAATCCCTGCATCATAAAGAGAAAAGTACCTCCATATTTTTCCTTCCCTTTTTTTATATGGATGTACAACATGCTGTTCTGTTCAAGCCCAGCCCATAGGGACCTCGAGCAAACCCAAAGGGAACTCTCCTCAATTGAAACTATGCAATTTACTGTCCCAAACAGCAGCACTTCATCATTCAGAGGACTTTAACCCCATGAATGTCAAACACGGAGTATGCTGAGGAGGAGACGGATACCTCATATTACCATAGATCCCACAGCCACATAGGCACTTTGAAGTTAAACCGTACAACTGTCTAATAACATCTGAATGTAGAGTTACATTTGGTCCCAAAACATCCGACTCGGCCCATAGCTTTCATTTCCGATCCCCGCCCAACCCGAGGATTTAACAGTAATTACAGGTTCGAACCTGGGAAAAAAACATTTTTAATAAAGCTTTGACTGCTTATATAGTTATTAGCGGTCGGCGGACATGCACGGCTGAATAAAAGGAGCAGAAGATCGGGGGGCGGTTGTCCTTTCATGGCACATTAAATCCCTGCTTCTGCCTGCATTCTGCATTATTCAAACACGGACCCTGCTCTGACATGTCAGATATTTTGGGATCTCACCTGTTTGGGTCGTCGGCCACGCGACACCAAATTACACCACCACCTTCTAAAGGAAAGAACAAAGATGTCTTATTTGTATGAATGTCTTTCTTTACTTTGAACTTTCTTTTACCTCTTTCAAGGCCGGTCAGCGCGCGGTCAAATGGCCGCGTGCGGCAGGTGATGATATGGCAAGCCATGTTGCCATATAAATGGATCGTCAGCCACGCGCTGGCTCCGGGTTCGGGTTAGAAATGACAACTCTATGTGAATGTGAGAGAATAGTTTAAATTATCTTAATTAAAAACAAGTCAATGTGGAGGTGTTTCTGAAATGGCTCGTCCAGAACTTGACCAGCATTCCCGCCTGTCTGGCAGCTGTATTTTCAGTATCTTTAAAGGTTGAATAATCCTTTTCTCTTTCCAAATCCTATTTTATAAAGTGAATGTGTATTAAATTCCTGCCACTCCTCACCTCAGAGGAGGAAAAACAAGGCCCAGGCTGTGCTTTAGCCTTGCAGCAGCATTAAACTTTCACAGTACAGCTGTAGAGCTGCAGTTGCCCCCGCCAGACATGCCAACTGCATGTTGGGAAGGTATTAGTTTGTGCTTTTTATTAATTCATCGCAGCGAACAGAACTTGCAACACAGAGAACCATCAGCTTCAACGTTTCCTTTCACTACATTTTCTCCTTGACACATCTGAACTCGGCTCAGATTTTTTTCTCTCAGTGCATTGCACCAAAGGGTGTTTAATTATAGACTAGAAGGCCACCAGGGTCTGCTTTTAATTGTGTGCATCTCTGTATGTGCGTGTGCTTGCCTGCAGCTCTATAGGTCACAGGCATACTCTAAATGAGAACTCCTACAGGCTAAGCTTGAAGACCCGCTCCCTGAATGCATCCACAGAGCCTGAGAGAGCTGGAGTTTGATTAATATTTTCTTAATTATCATTATTTAATTCAGCAAAACCACAGCTTCGTCTGTGAAAAGTGTGGCCCTTGTCTCTGCGATGCAGAATATCCTGGCTCATTAAGGGGCACGGAGAGATCCTGTATATGGTAAATAAGACGCTGCGTCTTATGCCGCTGCCCCGGGGAGAGTTGGCACCGCACTGAAGGACATCTCCTTCTGAAGAACGACGCTCTTGCTGATGTTTCTCCTCTCGCACTCCAGAGCCGGATCCTTCGCCTCTGGCATCGTCAGGCCCGCTTCCTTTCATGAGGCGTGAGCAGAGACGACGGTGCAGGCAGATCATCGCACCATCAGGCTGTCTCCTTTGTACAGCAGACTGGTGATTGAAACAACATAAGAGAGCGGAACAAGGCCTGTCTTCCTCTTGGGTTTCGGCTGCAGTCAGTCCATCCAAAGGCAAAAAAGAAAAGAAGACATTGAGAAGTTTATAAAGGAGCTTTGTGTACAAGCAGATGTCTTTGAAGAGTTTGGCTTCTGTCGTCTTGAGATGCAAAGAGGATTCTCAGCAAGGTTATACTTCTTTGGGCGCAGCGTTAGTTCAGCCGGCTTAATCCACTTAAGGTGCTGCTTGCACCTGAGAAAAATCATGTTTTCTTATCATGCATTAAATCAATGGCAACCTTTTACTTGGCCCATTCCAGTTTTGTAACAAAGCCTGCCTGGAGACATGTTTCATATTTTGTAGTTCTTCACATCGGCGGCGATTAATGCGTGAAGCTGGACGCGATGCTGAGATTTCGTTTTACTTGAAGCTTTCTCTTATTGCTTTGTGATGAAAAGACGGGAATATCTTGTGTCTGCTCAGCCCGACTACATACTGTATCTTCATCTCTTTGAATATGTCCTTTTCTTCACTTGGCCCACTGTGACGTCCCTCATCCCCTGCGCCTGTTCTGCCACTTCTCAACACACAAAAACTGAGCCACGTGCTGAGAATACTCTGAGTCTGATCAGCTCCTAAAAGCATTCGGTGTTGTTTAATTCCATAACAGCATTCGTGTGAAAATATTGCGAGTGAGATCTTGTGTAACCTTAAACCAGATTATAATATTTTGCAAAGAGGCTGTAATGATCTAGCCCAGACTTCATCGTCTCCCCTTGTTGTTTGCACACGCCACTGGATCAGTTTGGGTATTCTGCAGCAATAAAATACCAAGAACTGAAAGGAGGGAGGGGGGTAGGAGGGCAGTCCTTATCAGTGTGGCATATTAATGTTTATTTACACCATGGCTAATAAGATGTGTGCTCTGCAGCGTGCTGAGACAGAATGATGGTGAGTAATTAAGCTGCTTTGCTTTAGATTCATCCATTATCCATACTCGAGCCTGCATACATAATGTAATAATGTAAAATAAGGCCAGTCGCCGAAGTAGATGAGGTGACCAGTCTGAGGTGTTTGGTGTAAATCAGTACTGGAGTATGTCACGGGAGACAAAACGTACCGAGATCAGAGTGATGAATTTGAGAATTGTCAAACAGCTATTCAGTGGCGAGTGAGCTATGACCCTTTACATAACGTGGGGTTTGCAGGAAGACAAACACAACTGGCGACTGATTTGTGTCTCGGTGTTTGGCTTCCACCTCCTGCTGGAGGTTCAGAATCGACTTTCTCTAATCCGTGCTGTCATGAAGTTTAATCCCATCCACTTGAGGCACGGCCTGTCTTCAAAATCCTCGTCAGACTGGCCACTGGACCCTCTACACACACACACACACACACACACACTGCTCCACCTTCATGCAAGAGATTGAAATCAGCCAGGCAGACACTCGAGCATGAACCAAATGTCAGCCACAAGCCACGGGGACAGAAAAGGAGCCCGTGTTAATTATTACAGAGGAGAAATCACACTTTCACCTGCAAGACATGCCATCCGGGATATCTGTGGATCATGAAGTCATTTTCTCCTTTTCCCTGCGGGCATGCCAAAGGAGACAATTTCAACGAGTAGGTCTATAAAAACAGTGATTAACTTTGTTCCTGATGTATTTCGTTTGTCGCAAAGTTTTTTTTCCTTTATCGTATCAAATTGTGCCGTGCGTGTCCTGAAGTGATTCAACGATTTTGGGGAAAGTGGAGTAAATCCACTGAAACATCAGGAAGTCAGAGAAATCCCACCTTTTCTTTTGTTCTTCTGCTCAATGTCACAGGATTACAGATATTGTTTGAAGCCCGACTGTGAGGCGTTCCCCCCGTCTGATGGGGAGAAATGCAAAGTTTTGGAAAGGTGTCAACAAATTTCTTTTCCCTCTTCCCACCTGCTCTCTCTCTCGCTCTCTCTCGGCAGCCCTTTTTCTTTTTCTGACAACACGCTTCCCCATGTGACACTTCACCTTCGGAGATTTCCAGTTCTCTCTGATCATTCCCTGTTTGGTTCATGTTAATTAACCCTAGGGACGAAGCAAAGAGTTACAGGCTTTGAAGCACAAGAATCACCCCCCCCCCCCCCACCCCACCCCCCATATTGTAATTGATTTTTGTTTCTATGTGAGAGTGAGCGAGGATGCTGAGTGACG